TATATATATATATATATATAACCATAACAAGAAAAGATCATCTATGCAATGCCAACCAATCTCTCTGCTTGCCTAGCAGAGAAACCCCTAGAATAAAGCTCTCCACACCTCCTTAGCAATCCACTAATAATACAAAAGAGCCCTCACTACAAATATCTAGCAGTTGAACAGTATATGTATAAATATAAATCAAGTGAATTAGGGAACACACTGCAAATGTTAGGATACAGAAGTGATTTTTGGAGGTCTGGCTACCTGCAAAAAGTCATCCTTATTAATCCTATTTAGCCAGGAGTTTAAATAGCAGGTTACATCACCTAATGTAGCTTCCACAACTGCATCACTTCCAGTAACTTTTTCATGTAGGGCTCTTCAGTGAAGAGCCTGTTGTTCTTTATTACTTTTCTTTGTTTTCTTTTCTTTAGGTTCGACTTCAAAAGCTAACTAACTTTTTATTTTTCTGAAGATTTGTTTTTTATTTTATTTTTTAAACACAATCTCTCTTGCAGGTTTGTTGATCAAGTTAATGCGACTCTTGCCCTTCTCCATCCAATTAACTGCACAAGAGAGAGAAAAATACATTTGGTGTTTGATATGACAACGGTTCCAGCTTTATTGATTGTTCTAGGGTGCCTCTATATGGTGTTGAGACCAAGGCGACCAAAACCAAAGATTAATTGAGGCTTCAAGCTACCATCACTAATTTGAACTATTACAAGGATTTTCCATGATATGACAAGTTCAAGTTTGGTGGTAAAAATTTACAATCATTTTTATGATAGTAGTGCATAAATTTGTACGATTTCAAAGTTTTGCGGGTTATGGACAATACGTCAAACTTTTCATATGTGCAAATTGTGCTCTTTAAAGCTTGTAATTTGTTAGTTTCTCTCAGCCCGTTATTCTCATATCATATGTGCAAAATTTTCGTATGCATCAAATCTTTAGGGATCTTCCGATTTTCATATCTTATGTTACTGTAGAAAACGAATCAAATCAACCACAGTACTAACAAAAAGCTACAAAATAAAGTTGGCTATGGTAAATATTGACATTTTAATTTGAAGGGTGCGTTTGGGCTGAATTGTTATCTTAATAATCTTAAAAATCATTTTAAAATTAAGTTAAAAGTAGCCAAATTACAAGTTTTTCTTAAAAATTGGCAAGGTGGAATTTCATTGACCTCTTTAATGTCATCCTTAAGTTTTTTATTTTAATAAAAAAAAAAAAGACTTCCTCAAATGTCAATTTTGTGGAACTCAAGTTAAATTAAATAAAAATTAAAATTTCTCTGGGGAAAATAATAAATCTCTAATATGCATGAATTTTTTATTTCCTACATTGATAGACTCTCTTTGCCATTGTGTTACCTTTTTGGTGCTTTTATTCAAGCAACTCTTCTTTCTCCTTTGTACTCGCTCTTTGTGGAATGGAGTGATTTTGTTTTAGCAAATTGTTTATTTAATAAGTGTTACTTTAGATCAAGTAACTTAATGGTGAAATGTACTGTGTACTTGTTAACACATCATCTTGTGGTTTAGGAATTGGAATGTTTTTCACACTTGAAAAGTTTTGCAACGTTGTTCTCATTTCTAAATAATTAGTATTTAGGTTGTCTTTTTAATTTATGCAAACAAAAATGTAGTTTGTAAAATTTACATAATTGATCTTTTGGTGGCTCTACAAAGGACTACAAATTCACATTCTTAAATTAAATTATATATCTATCAAATTATTTAAGTTTTTTTGAACTTAATTGTGAAAATCATTAATGAAATTTTTTTATGGGGCTATTCACTTGTGCTTTTATGTAGTCAACCAAATGACATTCATTTTTATATTTTCACGATGGCACAATGGAAATTATGAAGTTAAAAGTAGAAATACGATACTAATCGTCCCACGTTTTTTTTTTTTTTTTTGACAACAACAAAAAGTTCAAATAGTAAAAGAATGAACTTTAACATGTATGTTAACTGACATTATAAGGGGTAATAGGTAAATTATAAAATAAAGGAGGTGGGTGTCAATTAATTAAATAAAAAGGAAGTTAGTGTTATTATGGCATATTTTAAGTAGGTTATAACAATTTAAGTTAAATCTTGGTAGAAAGCTGAAGAAATCCATCCTTCTACCCAGATCAATCCATTCATGAAATTAGTAAACACTAAATACTACAATTAGGTAAAATCAATTGAACATAGCCAAAGCCTAAAACAATTCATCATCTTATGTACTAAGAGTTATGTAATACATAATATTATTAGAACATGATAACATCATCTTACTAATACTCCTTGTTAAAACCAGGGTTTATAATTTGAGACCAATTTGACTATTTGATATGATTTTTATTATTTATTTCAATTTAAAAATAAATATAAATAAAAAAAATTCACATATAAAATACAAAATATTAATTATACAAATTATTAATTATTATCTTAAAATATTTATATAATAGACATTTGACAAAAGAAAATTTCTTGAAATATTAAACGTAAAATTAAAGTATTCATAAATTTCTCACTCAAAAGATTTTAATAATATTTTCAGTAGTAGTTTATTTTATAATACTATGAAAATATAATAATGGTTGGTAATTATTAACATATTTTTATCCAATATTTTTCTTTTATTTTGATATATTTGTTTAATATATTTGTTTTTTTTTAATTATTTTGAATAACAGTTTTGATATATGTTTTAATTATTTCTAGTTTATTTTATAATAATATTTATTTATATATAAAATTATTTAGGATAGAGTTATTGAAGGGAATAAATGTTTAGGACAGTTTTATTAGAGGGAATACAAAATATTAACTATAAAAATTAATAATTATTACCTTAAAATATTTATATAATAGACATTTGGCAAAATAAAAATTTCTCGAAATATTAAATGTAAAAGTAAAATATTCAAAAATTTCTCATTCAAAAGAGTTTAATAATATTTTTAGTAATAGTTTGTTTTATAATACCGTGGAAGTCTAATATAATGTACCCTCTACATTGTATTTTTTTTCTCCACACATATATGAATGATGAAAAATCAATCAAGGATACAACACAATCATTGTGAGATCGTCACAACACCATGGAGCATGGTTAGAGGTGACTCATCCAAATGTAAATTAAAAGTCCATTTTATAAACTTCAACTCGAAACAATAAAATCATTCTACTGGGAGCAATTGGTTAAGTTGGGTTTGAAATTTAATAGACATGGGTTGTCAAGTGCACTACAACCGGTAAGATTGGGCACACCTACTCACCCACAATACATAACGTTAAATCACAATTTTACATAACGTTAAATCACAATTTTTAAATCTAATTCCAAATCATGGAACGAATACCAATCCTTTGAAGATGAACAATTTGCGAAAAGGTGAAGTCGATTTTAGATGAAAAGACATGAATGAGATATTGTCGAATGGAAATAAAACGTGTTGGAGAGGTAGAAAAGTGTACCCCTTACATATATTAATCTGAAATAATTATTTAAGTTACTAATATTTATATTAATATAAATAATAAGTATAAAAATACTAAATTAAATGAATAAATTTATCTAAATAAAATTATATTATATAAAAGTCATTAAATATTACAATTTTTTTTAATGCAAATACCATAATTTAATAAAATAAACCTTCATCATATACTCTGGATTTATGCATCAGAACCTTTAATTGCACTTTCAAATTTTTTGCATCATGATATCCTCGATATTTGGATTTAAATATATTTATGGGGTTAGACATTTAATTTCATCGATATCTCACACAAGCAAATCATATAATCATTTAAGAAGTTCATACAATTATTAATACACACAACAACTTAATAAGATTTTTCATTAATAATAGTTCAAATAATTCAATATGCTTATGAGATGAAGATTTTGACTCAAAATATACTTTTCAAAAATCATTTTGACTCAATACTCTACGGAGACTTTCTCTCTTGGTTGATTAATGAAGCTAAAGTTTTGCATCACTTTGTCTAGTGATTCGACAAAGTCCCACTAAATGTGAACAAGTAGGCATTAGTTAAAGTGTCGACGCACTCGATAGGCTTCCACAACACAAAATCAAATAAAGACTAAATCCTAAACCCTAAACCATAAACCCTAAACCCTAAACCATACCCAAACACTCCCTAAACCAAAGGTCTATCCCCTAAACCAAAGGTCTTATCTTACTCATTCTACTCAAACCTTATTTACTATCTTATGATATTTGTAGCACAAAAACAAAATACCTCAATCAAACTTTCACAACCATATTAAGCTCTCACTCTATATTTTTTATTTCCATCTCATACTTCCATTTGTCCTTGATAGTATCTACTATTATAGTCAATCTCTTGCCACCAATGTCTTGAATAGTAAACATAAATAAAAGAATTTCAAGAAAAAACACTATTTTCAAAACTCATTTTTTTTATCAACTATCATTGATATAAAAGTCATTTCTCAAATATTTTTATACTATTTTCTGTACCCTTCAAAAAAAAATTGACTCAAAAACCACATTATGTAATATGCAACATGAATTACTATTAATTTATCATTTCAAAAATCATTCTCAATCAAACTTTTCAAATACAATTCAAACAATTTCAATAGCAACATCCAATCATAAACAATCAACCACATTAAGATTCAACCTCAAAACATCAAATTTATCAATAAGTACAATTAGAAAACATATCATCTAACCTAAGGTTACATGCGTCCAAACTTAGAAGTAATGATCAAGACATACTCTACAATTATAAGGACATAAATAAAATTATACATCTAACTCATACATATTTCTCCAAGCTTACGAGTTTTCTCCTAATTTCCTTGATTTTCTTCTTTTCTTACATCTTTTCCCTCCTATGTTCTTCCTTTATTACTCTCTTCTTCAAATTTTAGTCATTTACACCTTAGTTTTCCTCCTTGGTATTGGCAAAGATGGAGTATTTTTTAGTGTTTTCTGGGCTTGATTTATGTCTTAGTGTTAAGGATTGTTGGTGAGCTTTTTGGTGTGGTTTCTCCCTTTTATATTAATCTCCACCTTCATTCTCAAATCTTCTAGATTGAGGTATATTTCTTGATATTTCTTGAGTCATTTTAGTCACATGGTCATTAGGTGTCCATGTTGTAGATATTTATAGGATTTTCTAGAATTTTGTTGAATTATTTAGCTATCTTATTGGTTAAGCTTTCAACTTATTTTAATCATATGGTGATGAGGTGTCTACTTGCTAGAATTTTGTAGAATTATTTAGTTATCTTAATGGTTAATCTTTCAATTTATTTTAATCACATGGTGCTTAGGCGTCCACTTTTGTAAAATTTTATAGAACTTACTAGAATTTTGTAGAACTATTTAAATATCTCAATATTCTAGATGTCAATTTTTGTAGAATTTTATAGAACTTTCTAGAATATTATAGAATTATTAAAGTATCTTACAAATTATTTATAGTTTGGAGAAACTAATATATCATTAGAATCTTCACCATCAAAAACATAAGATTAGGTCACTTAATCATCTCTTAATTATGTTAATTAATCTTAATTTAGTTAATTAGAATTTATTTATGTGTCATAATTTGATTGATTGAGATTTGTATTTTAGTTTAACCTATATAAACATTTTTTATTAATTATTCTAAGCATACTATAATTATGATAAAATTCTTTAGATCCTATTGAATGTTTTCCCACAATTTTCTAGCTTATTATTTAAGCTAAACAAATTTCCTAAGTTGAATCCTTGCAAAATTTCTATAAATTCTAATTTAGATATTTTCTTCTTTAACTGCATATATTCTTAAACTATACTCAATAATTATCATTTAGGTTATTCAACCTAGTTCCCCACATTTTACAATATGCTCACAATGCA